GATTTGTTTCATAACGGAACGATATATGTTATATGTTTATTAGTAAAACCACTTCTGAATCAATGGACGCATATCTTGTATCATCTATATTGTAAAACACCTATTTCTGAACCGATTAATGAAGTCGACTGAGCACTTATATCGGTTAAGAGTTTTAATGATACAAAACAAAGAAATTAAATGCTTTCAATGTTTGGTTTTAATTGGTTTAAGAGAACATTTTTGAATGGAACCTTGTTCACCATAATTATGCTAACGGACATGGTACATTTGCTGTGTACGATCCTCTATAATTGCCGGGAGGGGAATAGTTGAGTACCACAATTCCTCCGGCTTTACCAACACCAATTTGAGTCGACTTTTTCCATACGATTTGAGTATAATGACCTATAAATGTAAAATAATAAAGATATAAACATATCCCGCAACATTTCACTTTAAAGGAAATAGAATCAAATTTCAACATATAGTTTTAATCTATTGTTGTTGAAACACATTATATGTTTTTTAAAGTTGTTGGCACAAATTAAAATGTATTTATTGTCGAAGCCACATATCATATATATGTTTCAGTTAAGACAAGTGTAATTTATAGTTAACCCATTACTTCATGAGCATTTTGTGAAAAATGGCTGTTTTCATTGAAATGTCCCCCGTTACAAGTTCAAATTGCTATAATACTATAAAAACTGCTTCAACACTATTCAAACTTGGCACAAATGTTGACTGGGCCATTGCCCTTGCAACAACATGCTTAGTATTTAATCATCTGTTACCATGGCAACGAGGGGACTGCTCAAAATTGCCAAAAATCACTATTTTGCGTTTATTTTATCCATCAAAATTGATTTCAAAGTGATGCAACTTCTTAATGGATTGAGATAGAGTCAAATGCTTTTCAGCGTTGCTTACACGTTACCTCATGATCAATCTGGGGTTATTTATAGCCTCTCACAAGTCCAAAATTTTCTTGGCGAAGAGGGGGACTCCGCCCCCCTACAAACCCCCCAAACAGAAGGGGGCTCATCCTCTTCTGGCAACCCCCTGATGTATCTTTTGGTTGGGTGGCCGCGCCGAAAGAGAGGTCACTTTTTTTAACAACATTTTTCAAACAAAAACAAGTGTCGGGGCCTAAATAAGGCATTTTTACACCATTTGAGACAACAAAAAGGGGGATGAAAAAGGCGTTAAAAGGCGTGTATATAACGAAAAAGGTTAAAGACACACATGCTATTTTCTAAAGTGTAAGACATACATCAGAAAAAATATATCCAATTTTTACTCTGTATGCTTCTGTTTAAAAAACAAGACACACACATTTTGCTATCTTAATGACACATTACTGTACAAATTTTGCGCTACTGTCGTCAGTTGTTAAATACTGGCTCTAGATATATTCTTTAAATGGTTCATATTTCTAAAGAATTAAAAATATGTCTTTAATGTTGAAAATTTTATACAGAGATTCATTCATTAAACAAGTCTCAAAAGAAATTACCATATTTTGAAAATAATTCCCCATCCGGTTCGCCTCCACACCATTTATTGTCCGCATAAAACTGGGCTTCTTTTTTGTACAGATTATCGACGTGTTGTGTTCCTAAAAAAAGAAAAAAAATATTTGGTGAACCTGACGTTTAAATGCCATGATGATAATTCAGAATATTATAAACACAAGATTTACAGGCATTGGAACTAGATCATTACTAGGGTAACTTTAATCAATAAGCAAAACATAAGGACGATATAGAATGAGAATTAAATTTAAAATCGATTAGTGCTATTTTTAGCACTTTTTGAATTAGAGGCATGTGAACGCTGTTCTTATTTTTCACCATGAAAATGATAAGTTTAGAAAAACGAAGGTAGCCAATTATCTGAAATTGTGCACACAGTGTATTGTAATAGTGGTTCAAAATCTGAAGAAAAAAATAAGTACAGTCTCATAATATAAATAAATCTCGGCGGAGTCCTTTTAAGATCAATAACGACATACAGACTCTTCCTTAATATAACTTTCTGATTAACTGTAGAATAAGTGAGTTCTATTTATATATAACACGATGAATGAGACTCATGCATATTACACTGTAATTAGACCTTTCTTGTAATTAGTTAAACCACTGTAAGCGACAGACTTGTGGTTCGAACTTGTCGCACATTTTACTTCGTTTATATGTTGTGAATCAGCGAAGATCTTTTGTTTTACTGCATTAGTTTCACACAAATTGATTTAATGCAAAATGATTGTATTTACTTAATAACAATTTGACTAATATTTGAAACGAAAACAAAGGATTATATTATGAGCGGTTTTACGGATATATTACCGCGACGTCTTTTTATGTCTTGTTTTCTTTTAATGTTATCTAGCGCAAATTATAAGCAAACTTACAAAAAGGAATTAAGCTCGCTCTGAAGTATCAACAGATAAAATCCAAAAAAAAATGAATATTTTGCAGTAATCCAATTAGCCTAGTTCTTCAATGAATAAATATCCTATAAATTTATATTCTTTTGTCAAGCCCTTTAGGTACCGAGAGTAACAGTTAATCAAATATATAAATATTTACCGGTGGCGGAAGACCACATCCATGATATATTCTCTCCATATTTATTTTTGCCTGCGGCTGGATTGTGCTCGAAAACGTTATTCGTGTTTAAATATGTTGCCCAACTTTGTGCAAAGGCGCTCATTGTAGCGTTATCTGTGACTGCGGGGGCCTGCGGGTGTAAATAAACAATTTTTGAACCATCATGTTAACGTTTTACAATCATGTCTGATTTCTGCATTAGATTATTACACCAATATACATTTGTCATTTTTTATTATTTTTCTCTAATAAACATTTGTCATTTGCTCAATATTTTGGTATTTAACATCTGTTAAGTTTCTATTATATAACAAACAATATTATTAGGTATTGGAAATACCTTTTACAAATAAATTAAATTATTTTATTCCGTCAGAACAGCAAAAAGGGATTTAATTACACAGATTTTTCATCTTTAAAGATCAATCACATATTAATTTGCCTTTTTATATATATTTTTTATACAAAAACAGAAATGAATAAGACTTTAGACGGTGCTACAAAATAACAATGTATACACAAATCTTGATTGCATTACAGAGCGAAATCATTCAAGATTTTTGAAAAACACTGCTTTAAAACCCTGCCTATTGTGTTATTGTGTTATTGTAATTTCATAAATTTATAGAAAGGATGAGTTAACAGACTCACTCCATGAAGAGCTCTATAGACGTTATGTTGTTTCACGACGTCGGCTATGAAGTCTGTGTCTGCTTGCTGTAAATAGAGGATATTGAATGACTGAATGTTCAATTATTAATTTACGTAACTCTTATTTTTTCCTGAGGCAGCCTGAAATGTGTTTGTTTTGCCCACTAGAACCAAAGTGTTACCGTAACAATTGTTTTTAAGATTTTTAATAAACTCCCATCCTCATCTAACATCTAGAAACATTTTCAAAATAAGTAATAAAATTGTGTAGGTATTATTTCGGATAACAAAAAAAGCTAGTGACATTTTATTAAATAAGCTACCCTTTTTAAATCTTCGTATAATATTGTCGTAATCATATGTCTTATAACAAACAAACATTTAACAGTATCGTATAACTAAAGTGGTTTCTGTGTGAATCAAATAATAAAATGTACTAGTCGATATTACATGTTAAAATGTATTGCATGATGAAATACTGAATATTACAAAATCATTTTAGATGGTTTGCATCATTTTGAATACCTATTTCAAACAAATTCTATTCATCTTTCTTTCTCATTCAATAGTCATACAATTATTTCATTCATAACACAACTTTAACCGAAAAAAAGTGAAAGAAATATTAGGTTTAAGTATTTGATTAATTCTAAGAAAAATAAGGTAATTTACATTATCAGGATTATTCTATTTTTGCTGATATATTCTTTAGATATACGATCATTATGTCCACTGCACAATCAAATGAATATAGAAATGAAAATATTGAATCTCATATTAATTTATGTACAGCATATGTATTACAAGAACAAAATAAGAGCTAGTTCTACTAATCACTGAAAATGGCCCAAAATAGCCGAAAAATAAAATCTAAAGAAAAAACATGATTTGTGTGTTATGTTGTTAATTTACAACATTATTTTTCTTTTTTTAAAAATCGTTTTATAAGTAATAATAATGTACGTTTGTTAGGAGTTTATTATGGCAAAAATAGCATCAATTTATAACAATATTGTGGCATTTATCTTATTTTCTCAATATGAGCGCACGTTTGATCCACATTTAACCTTACCTTGAATAATTTGTAATTTTAATGTCCTTCAATAAATCATCGTAAGCTTGTGGATCATGCATGCGCTCATAGCTTAAAATAAGCAAATGTATCCCCCACCATGACATTTATTAAAGGGGACCTATTGTCTAAAATCATCATTATATTATCATCATTTCTGATAACATGTTACGTATAATTTGACAAAGTGTGAAAGAAAACTTGTATGTACATGAAGTAAGTTATTACAGAGTCTATTAAAATAGCAATATCCCTATCTTGTCCCGTCATAAATTTCAATTATTTGTACCATAAAAACATTTAGTCATAAAATGGATACTAAAATTGCCACTTTGGTACATATATGGGATACCGATCGTATGCAGTTAAACCTATGTAGCAGTTAAATAAAATAAAGTTTACGAAGTAAATGGCAATTTTTATATTGATGTTGGCTGCCATCAAGGTAAACCTGGACTGTCCCTTGATCTGTAGCTATCACCAACAATCTTCTTATCAGATAGATATACTTCTAACAGAAACTAAATAGGGACCTTTGATATTAAAAATAAGAATTTTAGAATAAAACTGTTTAACAATTATGATAAAAGGTAAGCAGCAAACAATTTCAGAAAATAAACAGCAAATGTTTACCTTGAACATGGAAATGTAAAATTCATATATGCAAAAGAAAGTTTACATACCCCATTTAGAGCAGTTACCATACACAATGTAAGCAGAAGTTTCAGCATCTTGCAGCAAATTCCTTTTCTACAATGCAAGGTAGTCCTAGCCAGTGTGGAGATTTCATACAAATCCTTGGTATTTATACACATAATTTGTTCTATAAACCATTATATGTTAATCAAAATCACGCCATTGCATATTAGTTGAATGAGTCCTTAATCTTTAGAAATATCATTCGGTGATGTTATAAAGATAAAGGCAATATGTTGTATCGCTGGTTGATTAATTTCTGGCTCCCCTTAAGGTACCCCCATTTTATCACATTCTACTGTTGTTTTACCAATAGTTGCTTTTTTAATGTATAAAAGTGAGGTACAGTTATAAAACAAGTGAAGTATACTAAAAGATATCCGAGGCAGCCTAAAATTAGTTCCCTGGACGACAATGGACCTAACAACAATAGTGTAAGTGCATATACACACTTTAAAGACTAAAGACGGATTTAAATACCACATAAACGAATACCGCATGTACATTTAAACAATCTAAACGTTTAATAATGTTTATAAGGGTTAGGGTTAGGGTAACCCTAACCCTACTGAAATACTGTTATTCTGTATCAAAATATATATTAACACTTTCCAAACTTAATTCAGTTGGGGTTTTCTAACTTTGATTAAAAGAAATGCGTTTAATCAAAATATTTTACTTGTGTGGTAAAGTAACGAAGCACAACCTGTCTCTATTCATTGTTCATAAAAACAAAATTTTGGAGTTATCTGATGAAACACTACATGCTAACAAAGGATTGTGAATCAAATGAAAAAACATTTACATAGTTATCTATAAGGTATTTCACATGGTGTGATTTTCCAGCTCATGTAGATTATGTCTCGCAAACTAGATACATGGTTTGAATGACAATAAATTGTATCATTAACAGAATGGTTGTATGCTTTGTTCCTCATCAAACAAAAACTTTATAATAGTTTTGTTAAATGTATAGCATCAATTGTAGAGCGAGCTAGGCAACATCAGTTTAAAAGACAATGACAAACGTAAAATACATGTTGTCTATAGTTGTATTCTTTAATCGTATTGATTATTGTCATATTAATTTAAGTTTCCAGAATGCTATTCAAATCATTCTGGTTTCCACCAAAATGTTTGATAAGAAATGTAGCAATTTATCTGTTTATCCTCAATTGTATGTTATACGCATTGTGTGTTCAAGAGCGTGAGTGTGTGCTTGCATCATTTTATCATTTTAAATTAAACATGTTAAATTAATGAAAAGAAAAAAAAAGTAAACCCCTTTAGAAATGATGGCATCGTAAAGATATCGATGCTGTTTAACTCAGTTAACCTTTCGCCATACTTCAAGTTTTGAAACTTTCGATAATTAATATCAATAAAACAAGATGAGAAAATAAAGTATGTCCGTCAAAAGTATTTATGTATAGTTAAAGAACAAACAAGCGTGGATCTATACTGATAGAAAATGCATTGATGTTTCGGTAAAAGAAGTATAAAGTTAATACAATATAATTTGAGCATTAATAGATAATTGCTGGAAATTTATTATTAAATGAAAATATATCAAATTTTGAATAAAAGTAATTGAAGATAAACATTTAAACTGCAATACATACTTATTAGTATAATTAAATTATTCGCAAATCGAAATTAAACCACAATTGTGGAGTTCATGAATTGTAATTTGTATGAGAATATTCAGTTATTAAGTGTGTATGTAATAGTAATAGATATTTATTCAACAGTAATGCCACCATATATGAGAATATATTCTTGTTCATAGGAATTAAAACATTATAAGAAAGCTTTGCAAAATCTTTTCAGTATTCCTGAATACACAATGAAGGTTTCGTTTGAAATGAACATTGTTAACAATATGTTCATGTCATTCATCCACATTGATATAGTTATAGTTAGTTGTCTTCCAATACATATGTGACATAATGTATGTGAAGCACAAAGAAACACAAAGAACAAGCTACATCGGATCCCTTATCTTGATTTCTAAATTGTGTGGGATAATGGTGTCTACTGTTATACAAGTAAATGTATGCAAGAAACATGAATAACTTGTATATAATGCATAATATTTTATGAACCTTATTATATACATTGAAAATACAATTTTCTTCATTTTATATATACCAGATTTTACAGACATTTTTTATGAAGCGGTCATTTGGAATTGCAGAAGGCAGGGGAGTTTATGTGAACATTTCCATCACAGATACACTATTTTTCAATATTTCCTGTTGTCATAAAACTAAATGGGCAACTTTTAAATATTATGGAACGATGTGAATGAATGAATGAATGAATGTATGAATGAATGAACGAACGAATTAACGAATTAATAAATGAATGAATCACATAACTATTACATTTCATTTTCCAACTAAACGAATACTTTACTGCACTGCAAGTAAATATCTTCACAGTACAGAGCAAATGAAAATATTTCAACCATGCAGTTTATTCCAACCATGTTGATATTGTTATGTCTTTAGAAACGATCTCGAAAAGCAATGCTATCAATTCTAGTCCATGTTAAATATCAACTTGAAATTTCACAGCAGTATGACATCATTTAAGAGAAGGGCATTCTTCTATAAACTTAACTCTCTTATCTTACTGCCCTTTTAAGTATTATGTTTACATTCACATATAATTGTTTTTTGTTGTTTTTTTTTGTTTGTTTTTTTTTATCAAAACCGAAGAAGTGATAGATATATCAATTAGGAACTTCATAGACTGAAAGATCTCATTGACATGTCCATTGAATGGAAGTCAACATACCATTTTGTTTACATTTTTCCATATTCATGATTAGATATTAACATTCAGCACTAGTTTTTAAAGTTATAAGCATCTAACAAACTCATTAACCATTATTCAAACGTTATGAAACTCATATTTTCCCTTTTAAAAGCAGGCAAAATTATTCGTTTCTGAGGCATACTGTGGTTCTTAAGTTAAGGGTTTATTCGACTTGGGACTGCGACTTAATGGCTGTATAATACTGAAGTATAATATACCAAACCAAACGGTATATACATAAAATCAAAACATCATTTACATTGAATACGTTTATTCTATGCTACAACATGTTGAACTTATCTACCAACATAATACAACAGTAGAAACAATAAGGAATGAAGATCAACAAACTAGATTGTGTCTGTGTTTCTGTACGGTGCGGACATTATCTGATTCAATACGTATTTATGAGAGATAAGTGTCGTGTAAAAACATGCTGACTATGTCTGTGGTAATTTAAAATTATTTACTTATTTTACTTTATTTTACTCATTTGTCATTGCATTGAACAAGCATTAAAATAATATGATTAATAGAAAATGCCGCATATTTTTTCATTACAGGTTTGCAATAACTGGATGAAATGGAAGTGTTATTAATTGATGTCAAAGAGACCCTTAGTGATAGAACATATTTGTATGCGTTTTCTTTTTTTAATAAGCAACCCAGATTTCGTAGAATCTAAAACACAGAGAAGTTTATTGTAGAAAATTTAATTGAATTAAATTCAATTTCAGATCAGAATTTTTATATTTGGTGCCGACCTTTCACCTTCATGCATGTTTGCCTGCGGTTTTATCGGTATTACAGATATTATGTTAATGGTACTATTATTTTGTCTCCATCAAATTTCAATTTTCAAATACCATCAATGCAATCATTACTTTAGGTCACGTATGTTTAATATCAAGAAAATGTGTACTTTTTTGAGAATGTTACAGGCCTCCAAACTAGACCGGTCTAAGTGAAAATGATGCTGTTGTTGTAAGCATAAATGCATTTTTGAGCCTGTCTGTAATGACAAAAATGCTCTGAAGTGACTATATTCTGACAGAAAATCAAGTACACTATTATATTTTTATTCGTATCGTTCCTTTATTCATGATTAAGACTTCAAACTATCATTTATAAATATTTTTCTCATATCGAAAAAAAAATTTTTGTTGACAATTAATATCTTATTCATACAGTAATTTCATTTTCTTTTTTGCTAATGTAATGAGTTGCCTCGCAAGCTGTCAGCACAGATTGAAAGGCAATGGACGGCATTATAACGATGATTTTTTGTATATGTGTTTATCATTTTCTTTGTTTTACATCAAACAATAGCTTTACAACTTTGCAAATTATACATAATGTATAACATCATGTCCACACTTAGCTAGCTATTTTTCGGCAATCATTGTTTATACACTATAAAATAAGTTAGAATAAATTATATATACTATATAAATGCAAAGGGTTTGGTCTCGATTTTTATGAAAGGATCCCGGGCATTTTCTTTTTTATCATTTGTTAATTGAGGTTAACGTTTTGGCTACAGTCAATGCTATTTCTATTACAAGAAAGTTGCGATGGCGTTGTTTACGTTTTAGATTGTTTTCGTTGTAAAATTTTAATTTAGATTAAGTTTACCTGGTAAATTTGAGCAACGTACTTCTTCTGTCTTAAATTTTGAAAAAAGTCATTACAACTAAAGGATTTCAATATATACATATAAAAAGTGATTTATCAACATTATATAGAACCTATTTATGGTCAATTATATAGTGGTAGCAAAATCTGATTGTAGGCGAGTGTTTAATTTAATGCAATACTGAACGTTTAGCTCATCTACGGACCATGTTTCAAACAAACAAACAAACAAAAAAAAAACAACATTTCAACGATGAAAAAATAAACAGAAAAAAGAAAGAAAAAGAAAAAGTAGAGCGCATTGTTAAAGCGAAATCATTATTCTTATGCTCTTTTAACATTGCCAAAGGCTCGATATGTTATAGCCTGCTCATGGAAGACAGTTGTTAATGATCAACAAAAACTGCCCATCGCCTGAAAAATAATACATTTAAGCATAAAACTCGACGATTGTTAAAGGTAAAGCAATGTTATCAAAGTAAGTTAATTACTTCACATATTTTCTGCAACATTGATTGTGACATTTTCAGTTACTTGTTTAGACAATATTTAAAAAATGTTCAAACTTGAAGAACATTTTATATATCATCCTTAGGCCCGTGGTAGATAGCCAGCATTCTTATGTATAAAAGTATGAGCAAAGCTTGTACTTTTACAGGAATTGCAATTATTACGATTTGTTTTACTTAAAGATAACAGAAGACCGAC